AGAGGAGAAGGAACATCAAAGTGACAAAAAGTCGAGAGGGCGAACAGAAGAGTTATTCACAGTTGTAAAAGAGACAGACAAACAGACACAAAGGCATAAAAAAGTAAGATGAGTACTGTGAAAGGGGACGAATATTAAAAATAGTCGTGCCATAGTAGTTTGAAGTCAGAAGTCAACTCCGTTCAATAGACGTTTTTGCCGTGTAAGAATACGTTGCCCAGAGTGCACCACGTGGAGGTAAGTCTATTGCGGACCCCAAGAAGGACCTTACAAGTCCACGGAAAACTATTTATTTATATCAAATGGCAGGCGTTTTGATAGTTATCATTAGCCCTATAGTTGACTTCAAGCTTCACAGAGGGGAGGAGGAACATCAAAGTGAAAAAAAAGTCGAGAGTGGGGGGGGGGGAAGAACAGAAGAGCGATTCACAGATGCAAAAGAGGCAGACAGACACAAAGGTAGAGAAAAAGGTAAAATGAATACTGTGAAAGTGGTTGAATATGACATACAGTGGGGTCATGGTGGTTTGAAGTCAGAAGTCAACTGCCAGTTAATAGACTTTTTGCCGTATGAGTATACGTTGCCCAGGGTGCACCACGTGGAGGTAAGTCTTTCGTACACCCCTCCACGGAAAACTATTACACCTCTTTACAGCATAATTTACACACTTTGTTGGTGTAAACAATTTTAAGGCTGAGCGCTATTTCACTGCCGCTGAGCGCATGCACAAACAACTATTGCATTCAGAGGAAAGATTACAAATAAGTCCCTACGGATGGAATGAAAAGTGTACGTCATATTCCCTTCATTCCCTAGTACCAAAATTTGAGTCTCCTTTGGAATTGCTGCTAATTTTGCGGGCCACTGAGAATGGAACTGGGAATCAATATGTCGTAGGAAATCTTGTCAATTGAATAGGGGAATAGGTAAGTTGTACCCATCTGTGCAGAAAACGAGTTAAAACAAAGTGGAAACAAACATTTTCGGAAAAAGGTGTGAACTACAAGAAATTTTTCAAAAAAGTCTGCGAGTGCTTATGTTTTCGAAGCACACAACTGACTAAGAGCAAATTTACGTTCGATGTAGTAAATTTTAATTGCTCGAAGGCTTATAGTAAACAATCGCCCCACCTGGTAATCTAAACAGGAGGGAGGGTAGGGGTGGGGGTGGGAGGAGGTGAGGTGGTTTTCTAGCTAATAGTTACCTAAAGTTGTTTACGTAACCAACGTCATCTCTCTTCATTTCGAATATCGATGCCGTGTTTGGAGTTTCGGCAACGATCAGTTGGCCTCGAAAAATGGCCATCCGATCAGAGCTAGTCACCGAGTCGTGTTCCCAGGCCTCGACAATCACGTCTAACCTCGTCTACAAAGCAAAAAACTGCTTCACTCACCATATCCAATGAATGCAATGGCTTACTATGTAAAAAGTAGAAATTGAACTAAATTTTAAAGAATATAATAAGGCTGCAGCGGCAATTCAACACCATGTCCATTTCTGGTGGATGTTAACGTATCAACTCCAACAATGGATCATTATTTACTTACTTAGCAACCGTGGTCAACTTGCCATTATATTCCGAAATGTACTTTTACCGTGATTAAATGTTAATCGGAGTTCAATTGTCTATATGGAAAAATTTCCGTTGTAAAGCTGACGCATCTTTGCATACCTACACAGAACGGTCAAATGGGGTGTCAAGAGTTGAGGTGGAGAGGTGAGTTGGATAGTCGCTGAGGCATGAAAGCTGAAGAAAGGAAAGGTGGAGGGAGTGGAAGCGAATGGTGAAGGAGATTAGCAAAAGCGTCAGGGCTAAGTGATCAGAGAGGGGATTATGATGGAGATGCCAAATTGGAACTTGCCGAAAGTAGTGACCCTTTTGCGTTCCATGTTCATCAGATGAGCGACCGATAAAACGATCACATGACTGTTCGGTAAATGGATCAATACGAGCATTGATGACTCGTCAAATAAAATATCATCTCTGTAAGTTGAGGTTGGATTAGATGATGGTGCCATATTTTTATCTTGACAACACACCCTTAAGCTATCGATACTTCCAGTATGATACCATTCGAGAAATTTTCACTAAAAATATTACTGGTTTGAAATTTTTAAAATGTGATATATTTATAAGTATGAAACTGAAAAAGTAGAAAAGAGACGAGTTGCAAGCATCGTCGTGGTAAGTGTAAATGAAATAGTATTGACCCGTAATAAGCACCGGACATGGATTGATGGTTCTCATTACTGAAAAATTTCAAAGCAACAGAAAATTTTGACCGTAACACTTCAGACCTAATTGCCTTGTAAATCAGGCTCTACAATGGACTGAATAGCACACAGGTATAGGTATTAAGTGGTAAACGAATTCAAAGCTTCCCCATAAAGGAGGTGAAACTTACTGGAATGGGGTATTTCAGAGGAAAACTGACAGCATTCTGGCCGACTTGTGCATCGACCCATAATTGTGTCTGTTTGTCGAGCATATCACATGATCTGCAAGACAAAATGCACCATTAACGAGTTGGTTCAATTGGTGGTTAGCTATTAACGTACTCACTTACTCCACTCCTGGACTCTTGATGCAAATTTTGAGGTAGATATCGCAGTTTTGGTCGGGCCAAGGATCGCAACTTTGCCCACTGGGAAGTCTGCCATCGACGCTGTGAAAGAAAAAGCTGAACTGCAACCTTCCAATCGCCTCCTAAAAGTTCAAATAAGGCGACTAAGACCCACGAATTTTAGCAATGCTATTACAACAACAAAAAAATGTAGTTTGAAACAATGTGAAGTTATGTCGTAGCTTGAAATAGCACGAAATTTGTTATTCTGTTAAAAAGATGGAGTGACGCCAAACACACGTTTTGCATTTTGAACGTGAAAGTAATGATTTATTTATTCCTAATAAATAAATACACTGTTAGGTTGTATGTCTTTTTGTGAACCCTCTTTTTAAATCGTCATTACCTCTCTTGTTGCTACTCTGCACTTCACTTTGCCTATTATATAGAACTCATTGGCCAAACTTTATCGATGAACTTGATCTGCCGATCTTCTCCAATCAGTGTACTAGTACGCAATCTTCATTCCACTCTTGGACCTGAGGAGTATCCACATTTAATCAAATCCCTCATTTCTGTATTGATGTTCAAGGAGGTGGTACTTAAGAGGTCCTCTAATCATTCCAGGCTTTCGTTTCGCCTTCTTAGAGAAGTGGATGACTGAATTAACACCATGAAGTACACCGATTGACCTTGGACTCAAATTCTTTGATATTATAACTTTTTATTTATTTGTATTAAGTAACGTAATATCGTGGTCTCTTTTTGTGATTTGTAAAGGCCATTGTCTAATTGAAAATTTAACTAAACCAAACTCAATGAATACTCGAGAGTGAAGAGTGCTTAATAAAATTTAACGAATTTGATCATGTGACTAACGCCCACTACGAAACTGTGGGAGGAAATCCCAACTTGAACACAATTTAAGGAACAGAATATTTTTTTCAGGTTGTTGGTAATCTAATCCATCTAAATTGAACTATAAATTAGGGTTCTATTTAATAGTTAAATACTACCTTCATTCTAACCTCAATCAGCCACAACTTAGAAATTACGATCAAGATTAAAGAAATTAGGCAACCATTTATTAGGCTTTGCACAATTTCACCAGATCACTTTGAACAAAAATTCATGTTTTCATATGCACATTTTCTGCTCAAAAAAGAAATTGTTTTGACGATATTTGTGAATTGATTTGAAATACAAGATGGATGAATCACATTTTTGCTATGGACACTCGGTTATAGTCAAGAAATCTATTGCTAACTCAGACGTGACGAAAACATATTACCTAACGAAAAAGGCCTTATATGGAAAATTGTAATCAAATTCTTTTAAAAGTCGATCGAAAAAGCAGAACTCAACTAATTGGTGCAATATTCATTAATTCGTTGAAATATCAGACAAAGTATTAGGATGAAAAATTATTGAAGCGTGAAGAAAATTGTAGGCGGAATTGAAGTGAATGATAGCTCACCTCTGCGTGGGTGAAGGTGGGGTGAAAGGAGTGAATGAGCAGTAGAATCATGAGAGAGTTCATTTCTGACCGAAGGGGTGAGAGTCACTCGGTTGATGCGCGACGCAGTTAACATGAAATAAAATGAATTGGTTGACAAGTGCTTTCGCAATACTACCAAGGGGTGTGTTCGATAATGATGGCTTATAAACAAATGAATCCAATCACACACGCACACACGCGCACACACACAGAGCGAGAGGAAGAGCACTGTCCAGCGCGCTAGTCAATTTCATCCAAAATACGCCTTAAAAATGAATAATCTTGAAATGTTTTCACAAACACACACACACACACTTTACACGAGCTGCAAAAAACCTCTGGTTTTAACACGAAAATGTCGATATTTATTGAATGAGATTGGATATGGCTCTTATAGAAGTTTCGTAAGTCGAATCTGATAACGCGATTAAGGTAGGTAATACCATGCACACTCGAACATAATGGAGCGTGAGGTCGTTCCAATTAAGTCATGCTAAACATAATTAGTTACCAAGCATGTTTGTGTTGAGCATAGATTATTAAAACGTCATACTCACTATACGTCTGTATCCTCGGCATAATTGAGGCAGGTTGACCAATACTGGGAGCTATTACATACAGGGATATTTTGCTAAAGAGATGATGGGGAGACACCAAGGCTCATTTTTGTAGCAATCTGCAATAAGTTCTGTCACTGAATTCAAATAAAAAGTTTATTGCAATTCATTTGAACTTGGTTACCAATTAAGCACCCTGAATACTGATATTCCTTGCGTATTATCCTATTGATTATGGGATGTGTGATAGACTTACCTCCACGTGATGCACCCTGGGCAAC